AGATAGAGATATACTGGAAAGACTACAGAGGAAAACAAGAACAGTGTTAAAGGTTTTAGAAAACATGGCCTATGAGGAAAGGTCAAAGGAACGGTGTCTGTTTAGTCTACTAGGCTAAGTACAGGCAATTAAAATGCCCGACTCTGAATTGATTCAATCTTTGCAGGTTAGTCTAAACCGCACAGATTAAACCAATAAGCAAGCAAACAGACATTCACCCTTGATTCCAGAAATGCAGCTACATGCCTGCAGTGGCCCAAGCCAGAAGCAGGGGAGGACACAAGAGGACATTGCCTGGCTCAGCCAGAGAAGACAGCCTGGGCCAAGGCTAGCCCACCCACCCTGCCCTGCAGGGGAGATGCAAAGCATCCTGGGATGCTGGGAGACTGTGAGCTAATCTGTATCTGGAGTGGATCTGGGGCACTAGTTCAATAAACCAATTTAATCTAAATCGGCTCAGTCTGATACCACATCTAGGTGGATTCATCTTAACCTGGTTTGGGCCATTTTGAAAGCGTTTTATGTATACTGAACTTCTGTTGTGTTACAGATTTGAACCAGTTTCTGATCACTTGTATCAGATATGTGTAACTTCTGGGCACCTTCACACATGCTCCAGGAGTGGGGAGGGTGCGGGTGAACGAGCTTTATTTCAAGCACCCCCACCACCATTTTTAAGTGCGGGGATGCTGATACAAGGGACGCAGGAGGCTGCTGGAGCGCGGTGGCTATCCCGACCAGCAGCTGCATGTCACGCTGCTGCCGCATGTCATGCTGGCTGGCTATGCTGACCAGTATGACACACATAACTTCGTCCCGCAATGCCCTGTGGTGGAGTCCCTTGGCAATCCACCAACCATTGGAGAGCTGAGGTGGGCCATCCAACAAATGAAAACCAACAAAGCCTGTGGGCCAGATGGTATACCCGCAGAGTCTACCATGCTGGCGGCTTCCGGCTCACATCACAACTCCACCAGCTTATCCTCTGCCTTTGGGATGAAGAGGACATCCCCGGGGATCTCAAGAACATGACCATTGTGACCATCTACAAGAAGGGGGACAAATCTGACTGTAAGAACTACACAGGGATTTCCCTCCTGTCCATTGCTGGTAAGATCCTGGCCCGCATCCTCCTGAACCAACTTTGTCCCATCACCGAGGACATCCGGAAACCCCACGCCCACTAACAGCAATATTCCAACTCTAAAAGCAGCTTCCCAGTGGAACAGTCTAGCTAATTAGGCTGTGGATCCCTATCAACAGAGGGCTGTAAGAAGAGGTTGGACACACACCTGTCAGGGATAGCCTAGGTCTGCTTGTTCCTGTTTCATCATCGGTACCTTGTAGACCTTTCCCAAAAAACCTCCTGCTGATCTCTTCAGGCATCCTGTGTCCTATGAACATTCCTAGAACTTCATTTTCTTCAACTAATTTGGGAATTCCTAACCTAAAATTCCAAAGTGTGAAAGGGAGAGGCTCTGCAGGAGCCTTATCTCGAAGGACTCTGCAATGGAAACAGCATTCCAGAAAATCCTGACCCGTTCTGACTTGTAGTAGAGAGAAACAAATCTCAGAAAGGGAACTATTCAAAGGCTACATAGAGAATGCCAACTTCAAAATAAATAAATATTTAGAAAATATTAATAGAAGCATGAGCTGAAAATATTAGCCATGATAAAACTGTGTTCCATCCGCTCATAGTCTGCTGTTCAGCTGATACCAGATGCCATTACCAGATGCTAAAAAAGCAAGTCATCATCATCTTAGTTCTAGTTCTAGATACAGCCATAAATCTCACCTATACTCTACTGAAATGTACATTTTTAAACTCAAACGGCAAAGCAGTATGTTCTTTCTAAGAAGCCTATTCTACTAATTCTGACCTCCTCACAACAGTACAAAATTTGAATTGAATGCTTACTATTTTTTCCATCTATTAGACTATATTGATACTTTGTCCCAAAACTAAACAATAAAACCCTCCTTCGTTGAAAAACTGAAAAAGTGACTGGATAAAGGAGTGCAGTAAATACATAAAAGAGATTGACCCTGCACAAGTAGGAATTAACTAGCCGGGTTAATACTTCTCAAGTTCTGTGGGACAAATACAACCCGCAAATGTATCTGTAACTCTAACAATTTTTACAGATGCCATTATGATTTGCACCCACTTATTTCCTGGCACATATAATAACATGCAACTCTTCTACTTAATGTGAAATCTCACAAAATACTGCCCAATTATTATTGATTATTAAGACAATATAGTCTCTAAACAACTCAGATGATTTGCTTGGAAAAATGTATGAAGAACGCAGTTCACTTTTTTCCTTCGTTGAATATACAATACACTCACAGTTATGAAATTTGTAAATGCATGTATTCTTGACAGAGGTTGATGTTATGAGGCTTTCCTGTGCCATTAATGCCCATGATAATGGATCCTGTATAAATCCTACGGCAATACCCATTTTACCCATCTTTTTATCCCTCCTTCATTGTATGAGGTTGCAGAAATACATTAGCTTGCATTCATTTCACTAAACTAGAAATTGTTCAGAAGTTCTATATATCGTCTTTTGCTTTAGCTATGGACAGAGTACTCTTATCTGAAGCAAAATTGTTCAAGCATTGTTCCCTAAAGCATAAATCCCTTTTACACACATACCCAAGCACAGAAAGTAAGGTTAATGGAAAGTTCAAAAAAAGAGTCTGAAATTGGTCTCACAAAAATGGTCTTACCATGGAAACCGCCTTTGTACAAACACATTCCCAGCTGGAATCTAAGCACCTGCCCTTGTAGGGGGTTCTCAAACACCAGCTGCTTTGTTGTCACTATTTGGGTGGATGCTCCTATTCTGCAAGGAGTGGAAGATCAACTAAACAAGCTTACCCCTGCACAGAAATAAGTATTTCATTCAGGGGGGTGTTACCTTGGATTGGCTTCTATTTACTGCAGAAGAGGAGCATACACATAAAACGGTTACTATGGAACAGCTGACACAGGATAGGTCCTCCTCTGGACTGAAAAAATGCAGGCACGTTTTCAAATCGATTTCTGTGCACTGAACATCTGTTCTGTTGGAGGTTTAAGCCAGTTTCTGATCACTTAAACCAGTTTGTGTGTAAAGTCTGTCCCTAGCCGTTGAGATGCATTTCTTATTGGTTTCACCCAGAACTTCAGAGGGCCTTGTGGAGTGGAGGGTGTGGCCCTGCTGGCACCCCTGCAAAGGGGCAGAGATGGATCATACACTGTTCTCCAGAGTCTCCATTTTCATTCAAATAAATAAATAAAAATGAAGCAAACTCCTAATTCGTATGCTTGCAAAAAAACCTTCAAAACAACCACAAGCTACTAGTGCAGAGACCACTGCCTTAACAGCAGACAGATATAAATAACACTGTGGCATGATTTACGCCATTTATTCCACTGAGCATTAACTTCTACCTCAGCAACGATACTTTCAATACCTACACTGGAACAGTAAAAGTAACTTATGTTAATATTATTGCTCAACAACCACAAAAAAGAGGGGATCTGTTTTTACTGCACTGAAGCTGATTACAATTCCAGCAGGAGAATCTCAACCATACTATCAGGGAGCATTCGAAGTTTTGATAGATTCAGCAAAGCAATCTTCTAAGTCACATTTCTTTTTTTTAAACGAAATATAGCGAGTAGAACAGGGAACTAGGCACAAGGAATCTTAGTTTCTATTTCTAGCTGTGCCACTGACTCACTACATATAGTTTTGTGTTATTTCAATTTATGATGACAAAGCATTTGAGCTCACTGAACGAAAGTACAAGTGCAAAGTGCTATCACAGTTCTTTGGGTAAATGTGATATCTTTTTATTAGACCAACTAAATAGTTGGGAAAATTGTTCTTTGCAAGTTTTCAGGTACAATCACCCTTCACCAGGAGAGCACAAAACACCAGCAGACCCACCCTATGCCTGAAGAAGGGTGTTTGTGCCGAAAAGCTTGAAAAGAACAATTTTTCCAACTATTTAGATAGTCTAATCAAAGATATCGCATTTACCCAAACAGCCTTGTCTGCCTATGCCCTTAGACCAACACAGCTACAACCAACACACCCAAGTACTATCAATTCACTATTAGTGAAACCTTAACAGGCTGAAGAGGCTTAAGATCATGATCTAATATTCACTTTTCACATTTTACTTTTGTAGAGAATTTACCTAATTTTTTTAAACATCAATTACTTGTATGCATTAAGTTAAACATAAGTGAAGTCTTGTTACTGTAACCCCTTATGAATTAATAGTGAAAGGAAATATTACTGATTAAAAACAATGTGAAGCAACACTATCATACTTGTCACTGATTCTCTAAAGATTAAAAAATACAAAAATATGTTCCCAGTTTAAGATACTGTTGCATTTCTTTTTAAGTCTTAAAAGCATCACCCAAATTAAGTACTGGAAAAAGGAAGTGAAACCCCATCACAGTAAATGAAGTTATACCCTATAATGTCAGTAGCTAATATCAGGTATATTATTTGATTTGTACAATAAAGTCAAATATAATAATTACAGGTTCTAACTGTCAATTACAGGCTCAACAATATAATTATTATATGTTATAAATCCTACCCTTAATCAACTACCCTCTTCTGAAAAACAGAAATGACCCAAAAGGAAAAGAAACAAAGAAAAAATGTTCCTGTAAAATCATTATTCATCAACCTTCACTATTTTTTTCCATTCCACAAGTAAGGAAAAATAAATGAAGTCTGCAAAATGCTTGTATGACTCAGAAAAAGACAACCATTATATTAAGACCTGAACAGCATGCTAAATCCAAATACTATACAGTACAATTAATTTTCAGAAGTCTATAATTATGTAAAGTTCTATAGTTCTAACTGTTTCCCTTTTCAATAATTTTGTTAAATGGTGATTTAAATTATAAAGTAAAATGTGTCAGGAGGTGGCTACATACATTTTTTTTAAAGCACACATTTGTTAAAGGATATAATTTTCCAGCAAATGTCTAACTTGCTGTTAATCTCCAGACCTTTTGCCTGCTGTCTCTCCTCTTCCAGTTTCTTTGCATTTGCAAACTGTACCCCTTCGCTAGGGGATTCTGGAAAACTCTCAAAGTTGAACTTGTCGACTTGGATAGCCATACTGTAAGGCAGAAAAAAGAAAGAAAAGAATGATCAATATAGCAATTTTGCAGGAATCACTTGTAGATCAGTTCACGTGGCTTTCTTTACCAGGCCAAACACTACAATATAGCAACTTATTTCCTTCACTGGGATCAACTCTGAATAGTAATTAAACATCAGTATTTTTATGATAAAGGAAATGCAAACCAAGCTATACACATAAATCCAAACGAGTAACTTAAGAAAACAGTCACTTGCCAAGGACCTGATTTCTTTAATGAATTATTCACACTTGGATGACTGAGTTCAGTGGGATCTACAGAAGTTTCGCAGTCCTGGGACTTGCAACAGTGCAGGATCAGGGTTTAATACTCCCAAAGTAACAAAGGAACGAGGGGGGGGGGGGGGGGGGGGGGGGGGAACAGAAACACTGGCGCAAAGGATTGTGCTCTTCCTATGGTAAAGCACACATTTCTTAGGAAGTTTAATAAGCCAAATCCACATAAAACCAAAATTAAATATAAAATCAAATCTTTAAAATTATGCAAATATAAAAATATGCCCCTGGCGTAAACATACCCATTCTTTCATGCACCTCTGTGCTGTGTAAAAGACATTTCTAGCTTTTGTTCCTTCAAAATTTTTCTTATGAAACTCACAAGTACTAACAAAGTTTCTGCCTGCGGTTCAAACCAGCTATATACTAGAAAGGACTGGACCCCTGCATGCTAATAAATCACTTTGTTATATAAATAAGTGCCCTCCTGGGTGCTGACATGCTGTTTCATATTACTAAGTCAAGAGTAAGTGAATATACAAAAACAATTTTTACAAGGCTCTTAACATGAGCCAACCAAGTCTGCAAATGCACAAAATCTGCCTTTGCAATTATCTCGTGCAAGTCAGCAAACATAAGCACCCAATTTGCATTCAGCCATGTAGATACTGTACACAAAAATCATTTGTAAATGAAGTTTATGAAGTTCATAGCTACAGGCCACCTTCATGCATTTCAAGTACTACTAGACGGTATCTGCAACATCTTGCGTTAATAGCACTACAGCAAATAATTAGTGAAACAATAATTTTAACACACATGGTGTGGATAAATATGTTCAAAATATATTATGGTGTACTGTGTGCTCTACGATCACATATTTAATTATAAGCAATAATTAGATAAACATAAAAGCAATTTTAACCTCATAAAACCAACTGAAATGTGGTTTTACCAAATCTAATAACTCGCGCTGTCAAAACACAGAATCATTTATTTGGAATAAACTGTAAAGGAAAACAATTAGTAAAAAAATTAAAGCATGCTGTTTTGAATGATTGACTGCGGATGATTTTGCACTAAGGCAAAACAGAAGGTAAAGCAACCAGGTTTCAACATCACTCAAACAGGAGTCCAGCTATAAAACAGGGTCTCCAATAAACTTCATACAACTGGAGGGAGTTGCATTCATCTCTACTCCATCTCTCATCAAATCCACATCCAGAAATACTTTTTTCATGGGTAAAAAAATAATAAAGAGAAACTAATGAAGTACCAGCAATTGAAGTTAACAACAAACAGACTTTTCGAGAGAAGGCCTAAGTGACATTATTGTAATGATGTAATAGTCTTAGCAAATAGGAAAACAAATCCTTTAAGATTTATTGCTAGAAATTAGCCTCATTTCTGGCCTTTGGTAGCTGTGGTAGAGAAGCTTCAAGACACCTGCGCGCACAGAAAGTAATATAGGGCCAAATGGTTTGAGATGGATAGAAGCTTTACCCGAGATGAGGCAGGAGAGGCTGTTAATGCTTCGTGATGCCCAACACAACAGTCGAAGAGCGCAACTGAGGCAGGGATGACTGGGGCAGCACAGTTACTTAACATGCTTGCTTACCCGAGCGCTAAGTAAAGTCTCTTCATGAAGGTAGCCAAGGACCAGAAGCCCAAAACCCTTCTACCTGTTCATAGATGTCATAGACATTAGGGCTGGAAGAGACCTCGGGAGATCTTTGAGTCCAGCCCCCTGCCCCAGGGGCATGCAGTCAGCCAGGGTCAAAGGATCCCAGCAAGATAAATATCCAAATGTTTCTTAAAAGTGTCCAAAGTAGGTGCTTGCACCACCTCTGGAGGGAGTCTAGTCCAGGTCTTTTTCCTTATGTCCAGCTTAAAATGGTCTTGGAGGAGCTTGTGATGACTGGACCTTGTCATCCCTTGGGGTGCTCTGCTGAACAGGCGTTCCCCCAGATCCTGATGCACACCCCTTACGTACTTACAGGCAGCCACCAAGTCACCCCTGAGGCTGCGCGTCTCCAGGCTGAAGAGTCCCATGGCTCTCAGCCTCTCTTCATAAGGCCTGTTCCCTTGCCCTCTGATCATGCATGTGGCTCTCCTCTGCACTCTCTCAGGTTTTTCCACATCCTTCTTAAATTGTAGAGCCCAGAATTGGATGCAGTACTCCAGCTGCAGCCTCATCAAGGCCGAGTACAGCAGGAGGATGACATCCTGAGATTTGGTTGAGAAGCATCTATGGATGCAAACCAAAGTTTTGTTCGCTTTACCAGCTGTGACATCGCATTGCTGGCTCATGTTCATCTTGTTGTCAGTCACGACCCCCAAGTACCTTTCAGTTGTGGTGCTAGAGAGCATAGCGTTGCAAAGCCTATAAGCATGATGCGGGTTTCCCTCCCGCCCAGGGCAGAGTACCTTGCATTTTTCTATATCGAATGTCATCAGGTTTTTATCCACCCACTTTCTAAGCCTATCAAGGTCAGCTTGGATCACCAGCCTATCCTCCAGTGTGGACACTCTACCCCAAAGTTTGGTGTCATCAGTGAACTTGGCCAGTCCGCTTCTGACACCCACGTCCACATTGTTAACAAAGACGTTAAGGAGAACAGGTCCAAGGACGCAGCCTTGGGGGGATACCAATCGTCGCAGAGCACCATGATGATTCACTTCTGTCGACTACCATTCTCTGGGTCCAACCTCGGAGCCAATTCCCTAGCCATCGGACTGTGATGTAGCCGAGGCCACAGTTGACCAATTTTTCCACAAGGAGATCACGGGACACCAGATTAAAGGCTTTTTTAAAGTCCAGATATATGATGTCAATCGCTTCTCCCTTGTCCAGGTGATAGGTCACCTGGTCATAGAAGGAAATGAGATTGGTCAGGCAAGACCTATCCGCAACAAACCCGTGCTGGTTATCCCTATGGTTGCTGCCATCAGCCAGCTTGTCAAGAATGGTCTCTGATGATTTTTTTCCAAAATCTTTCCAGGGAATGAGGTCAAGCTGATTGGCCTGTAGTTCCCCAAATCAACTTTCCTCCCTTTATTGAACACAGGCACCACATTGGCCTTCTTTCAATCTTTGGGTACTTCACCTGAGCACCATGAGTTCTCGAATATCCTTGCCGGTGGCTGGGCTATGATGCCTGCCAGCTCCTTAAATACTCAAGGGTGCAATCTGCCAGGACCAGCTTACTTGAAGTTGGTCAGCCTCTCAAGGTGTTCCTTTACAAGGTCTACACCAATTTTGGGTATACATTCACCCTCACCCTAGTCGTCCTGCATCATGTTAGGCAAGGAAGCCCCTTTGGGCTGGTGAGAAAACAAAGCGAAGTACTCGTTAAGCAGGTTGGCTTTTTCCTGGGTGTTAGTTGTCCCATTTGGTTTAGCAAGGATCCAACATTGCCCTTGCTTTTCTTCCGACTCCCCGCTCCTGGGGACTCTGACTGCTGTTGTCTTTTTGGATCCCACCACCTGCCCATATGGCAAATCTCATAGGTCTTGAGTGCAAAAAAAAGCATTCATTTCTTTTTCTGTGTTTTTGTGCAGAAAATCATCTGGGCCTTTCCATTTAAACCCCAAAAACATTAAGATATGGATATAGAAAACCTAAAAATGAACTAGCAATAAGATTTTGCAGTACTGTGGGAAATATTGCCAAAAACAAAGACTATGATAGAAAAAGTCCTACATTTAAACAACATTATGAATATAACAGAACCTATCAAAAGCCAGAAAACTCCAATGTGATAACATCTGTTTTTAAATCATGTTGAAATGGAAGCAATTACATGAACACCAGCTGAGCTTCCTGGCTTTTGAACACGCAAGTGCACTCATGAGACAGAGGCAATGGAAACTTCACTAAATCATTCTTGGTTTGTTTCTGAAATTGCCTGGTCTCTCCATGGTACATGAAAAAGGAAGCTGCCTGTCTGCACTTCTAAATTTGAATTCTTAAAATTAGACATCTACAATCCTATTTCAGCAACAAACTACCTTAGGCCTTTTGTAGTGCTACATATATCCTCACAGCATTAAAAAAAAACCAAGTATCCATACATTCAGGCAGTTTATAGTACTATAAAATGATGGATCTACCACAAAAATGGCAGATCCACTACAAAAAAGTGAATGTTTCAAACAAACTTCTTTGAAGCACTAGCTTTTTGTACAGTCGAATGTAATAGCACACCCCGCCAACATCCCATATCCCTCCAAGGGGCAAGTAAGAGAGGTGAGATGGTGCCCTGACAACCTGCTTAGCCATAGTGATTTCTCAATTAATCTGGAGGGAACCCTGCTGCCACGGTGCCACAAGCATCCTAGCAAACTCTCTATTTTTGCAATGCTACAAAGAGCTATAAAAAGTATCAATGCACTTTGAAGTGGTACAAACCAACATGTGTTCAAGT